TGAGGACACAGATGTACAAGACTGAGAGATGGTTATTAATGGTTCTCCAAATCTGCTTTGTGGTTATTGACAAGAATGGTAATAATAACAACACTAGTAATAAGGCACCAACTACAGCTTACAAAGCATTTCCACTCTCAGTACCTTCTTTTCCTTTTTCATAGGGAGATCAGTGCCTCCTGAGTCATGAGGCAATATCCTAAAAACCTGAAAGAGATCTACTTGAAGATTCCTACCAGGAAAGCTAGCATCTAGCAGGAGAGGACAATAACTTTGTTATGGGTTTTGACTGACAGCTAATTACATTAGAAAAATATATAAAACAAGCCCCCTCCAAAAAAAAAAAAAAAAAATCAGTCATGGTTTTAAAAAAAAAAGTAAATGTTTCTAACCTAAAATTATGGGATGCTGGTATTAGACCCTCGGCTATTTTATCTCTAAAGCCCTTTGCACCAAGGGTGGACACAGAGCACGGGAAGACCAGGATCTACAGGACATTGGGTTTCCTGCTTCCACCTTCCAGTTCTTTTTTAAGATCCCTCTGCACAAATAGTGGTAACTCTCTCTCCTAGCCACAGGTGGACAGTGGAGTAGGAGGAGAACTACATACAAAGAACTTGCTGGTAACACTCTGGCAGTTTGTAATGCAATGCAAACCTTTCATGAGCAGAAACTTGAAGTTCCTGGTTTATGAAGCAATCTTCCTTCAAGGTTAAACCCTGTACATGGACACCCTTGGGTCTCTAGGATGGATGGGGGCATGAGGGTGGAATAATGGTCTTATAAAGCTCACCAGAGCACAGCTTGTGGTAGAAGGAATTGTCCAGGGTTATCATGGTGCGAAGATCTTCAATCCGCTGGAGCTTTACCACATTGGAGCTAGCCTCTGGGCCAGCCAACATCCTCAGCTGGGACACATCATACCGATCCCCAATTCCAATAGGGAACACTGTCACTCCTAGAATCAGCAGAGGAACAAGAAAAGAGTCTGTGTCAACCTATTTTGATTGGTTGAGCTCAAATCAAGATAGCCTGAAGCTACGCCCAGCATTTGTATATTGTTGTTGTTGTGAAGTGCCGTCAAGTCGGTTCCGACCCATAGCGACCCTGTATAGGGTTTCCAAGGAGCAGCTGGTGAGCCTGAACTACCAACCTTGCAGTTCAAACAGCTTTGCAGTCTGGCGCATTAACCCACAGTGCCACACCAGGACTCTGTATAGAGACCCACAATATTACAGACTGACTCCACACACCATCGTGTTCTATTCACATAACCCTATAAGGGAGATATTCAGTCATTTCACACATATTAACCTACTATGTGCCAGGGGCTTCTGGTGTGGTGCTGTAGGATAAGCACTGGACAGTGAACCACTAGGCCGGGAGTTCAAACCCACCAGCTGCTCCTCGGAAACCCTTTTACAGGGTCGCTATGAGTGGGAACCAACTCAACAGCCAAGGACACAGCAGTGAGCTAAGCAGATAAAGTCATCATGGAACTTACACAGGAGAGAAACAGACAATAAACACATAGATACATAAATATATAGTATTCCAGATGTAGATAAGTACTATGAGAAAAAACAAAATAGAGTTAAGAAGAATGAGGAATGAGAATGAGAATGAGAAGGGTGGGTGTTACTGTTTTCTATAAGGTGGCTGAGGAAAGGCACAGTGAGAAGGCGACATTTGAGCAGAGATTCGAAGATGAAAGACATTGCAAGAGGACATCTGGTGGGAGAACATTCCAAGCAGCGAGAGCAGAAAGTAGAAAGGTTCAGAGAAGTAATATGTTTGCATGCTCCAGGGTGGCTGGAGCAGAACAAGCAATAAAGGGTGTGGGGCTCAGACAAGTCAAAACTTTTGTAGACCACAATAAAAATCGAGTGTGTCCTGTGAATGAAACAGAATGCCAGCCAGGGTTCAGAGTGGCATAAGCTAACTTTGATTTTTAAAGAAACACCACAGCATCTATGTTGAGAATGTGCTTCAGGGGACAAGGACAGAAACAAAGGTTCCAGTTAGAAAGCTATTACAATAATCCAGGTGAGAAATGTTGGAGACTTGCAGCAGGGAGTCATTGGTGATATATATGGTGGGAAGTGGTATGATCCTCACTATGTTTTGAAGGTGGAGCTATAGTTTGTTGGTGAATTGTGTGGGGGGCATGAGGAAAACAGGGAGTTAAGGTTTTCTATCTGAGCAACCAGAGGGATGGTATTTCCATTTCCTAAGATGAGAAAGAGGTAGAGAATTGGTGGTGTTTTTCGGTGGCGGAGGTGGCGGCGGCTCTGGAAGCGTAGTGTGTATGATTTGGGCTGCTAACCTCAAGGTCAGCAATTGAAACTACCAGCTGTTACACTGGAGAAAGATGAGGCTTTCTACTCCCATAAAGATTTACAGCCTCAGAAACACTATGCAGGGTCACTATGAGTCGAAACCAACTCTACAGCACATAACCAACAATAAGCTACAGCTGCTGCTGTGTGCCATTGAGTTGGTTCTGACTCTAGCGACCCTGTATAGTGTTTCTAAGGCTGAATCTTTACAGAGCAGAAAGCCTCATTTTTCTCCCAAGAAGCAGTTGGTGGATTCAAACTGCTGACCTTGTGATTAGCAGCCCAGTGCATAACCCATTATGCCACCAGTGCTCCTTGGTGAAAGTTAAGAGTTCAGCTTAAGTCAAATTGCCACTGAGCACATCTAGGTAGAGTTCAGGGGGGAGGCCTAGGTTGGAGATGAGAATTTCGAGGTAATTAGTGTATAAGTGTATTTAGACTTGTGGCAATGAATGATATCTCCGGGGTGGGGTGGAGGTGGGGGGTCAGGGTAAAGAGAGAAATGAAGATGTCACAGGGCTAAGCTCAGAGTATGTGCTCAGAGTATTTTGCATTGACAAAATGAGGTTTTGAATGGTTAAATGGCTTGCTTAAGCTCACATCTGTTTCCTCTAGACTATAATAACTTCCTTCCCTGATGAAGTCTTGCTTTGGATTCTTAATGCTTAAGGAAAAATATCTCCATCCTTAAATTCCCCAATTCCATTTTCTAGAAAGTTCTAGTATTTGCAATTTGTTTAAGGTTACAGTTGGTTTTCTGCTAGAAAATTTTTAGTACTTGTAAGCTTGTGTTATATAGATACATGTTGCTGATCGTTTAGTGTTCTTTTTTATGAAATAATAAATTTCATATATGTCACAAACATTATATGAGCACCTATTTTGTGCATCATGCACAGATGATATTAAAATTAGCAAAATTTTGCCTTTGCCTTCAAAGAACTCCCAGTTTATACAAAGGATATATTACAAATTAAGGCAATCCAGTGTGATTTACACATTTGGGGTAGTTCAGATGTGGTACATAAAAGGGAGTGAATAATTCTCTCAGGAACAAGGTCAGGAAGATTTCAGAGAAGAGCAAGGTTTTCAAAGAAGAATGGTCTTCCAGGTGCTCAAGAGGGGACAACATCACTCCAGCCACCGAGCTCTCTCTGTCCTGGTGACATTCATAGCACAAGTTCTTACAGGGCACAAGGCTGGGACATGCCTGCATCCTTCCTAAGGCAGTGTTCTTGTCTCTCGACCATCCATCATGCACCCCCTGCTCCTGTCCCCAATAGCCCATTATGTTGGTATTGGTAAAGGCTCTGATTACATGAATGTCCTTGACTGTTCCCAGGACCCCATAATGAATCATTTTGGCCTCAGACATAGTATTTTGGTGAAAATTAAAAATTGAAAGGCTATCACTTCAAAAATGAAAAATTTAGAGGTATGACCCACCCCTGGGCATGAGGGACAAATGTAGAGGGATGAAAGCTTGCCATCTAAAGCATGCAGGCAAGTGAAAGAGCGGCAGACAGTTATCACTGTTTGGTTTCCAAATAACACACTGCACAATTCCCTGCTGTTGAGCATTTAAAATCATCCAGGATATCTGAAGCAAACCCCCATCCACTTCCAAATCTCTAGCTTTCTAGGAAATTTCCAAATGGTGCATTGGACACTTACGGTTGGACCTGGCGGCATCAGCTGCTGTGGCCACTGAATCCATGGAGACATCCATCACTATGATGACCACTGCCTTGGAGACTCCAGGCCTGGCACCATGGACTTCTGATGTTATATATCGCACAGCAAAGCCCAAAGCATCCCCTGGGAATGAAGAATTGACCACCCCATCAGTAATGAGTGTGATGAATGGGGCTCCTAAGCCAGTCACCATCCTGTCTACAGTAGATCTTTAAGACGTTCAAAAGCTTGGTGACTCAGAAACTCAAAAAACACAATTAAGATCTTCAAGAGGCCTGCAGAAGCACTAGCCCCTCACATGACAGTAGAGGAAACTAAAGACCAAAGAGCAAAGTGACAGCTCAAGTTACTTAATCATTTATGCCAAGCACTAGGACCAGAGCATGGGTCCCTGCATCCCAGTCCATGGCCCCATGTTACCAATCTGGCTGGGGCCATGCTCCTGCTGCATGAGGTCCACGAAGTTCATGAAGTTGGCACGATCCAGGGCCACATTCCAGGGCACATCGATGGTGGTGATGCTGCCATACTGCAGTACTGCTACCTGAGTGTGACGGGGCCCTGAGAAGAAAGAGAAAACAGTAAGAACACACTGACTCAGGTGGAGCCCCAAAAGGAACCTCTTCCAAACCCACCTCTTCAAGCACATCACTCACCTATATTGGCTTTGGAGATGAAAGCCTTGACGAAACTTTTCATTTCCTCAAAGTAAGGAGCTGGAACACTGGAAGAGCCATCCAGGAGAAGAATCACATCCAGCGGCTGGTTGCAGTCTACAAAGGGGCCCAGAGAGATTAGCACAGAAATGTCAGTAGGGAAAGGGAGACTCAGCCACCAGGCCCATGGCAGCAAGACACCCACGTCTATAGGCTCTACAGGATATTGTCTACCACATGCACCATGATGAGAGAGTGTGTCTATTAGCCCTAAGTAACAGGAACATGAGATAGGAAGAAGGAAAAGAGGGAGATGGAATTCCTGGGTCCGGGAGTACCCCACGTACCCCAGTAAACACTGGGAAGACTCCAACTCCACTTAATGTTACTCTTAAATCCTACAAAAGAAAGTAAGAGCCATCAGTTCCCTCGGTAAGAGGAGTCTGCGACTCTTCTAGAATTGAGTGAAATACTGGAGTGGCAAATCGGGGAGATGACCAAAGGAAGTGCAATAGCAGCCTATCCCTGGGAAATGAGCTCATGTCTTATGCAGTAGGTTAGGTTACTATTACTAGTCACCAGTTGCCATTGAGTGGATTTTGACTTATGGCAACCCCATGAGTGTCAGAGTAAAATTATGCTCCATAGAGTTTCTAATAACTGATTTTTCAAAAGCAGATCTCCAGGCCTTTCTTCCGAGGTGCCTCTTGGTGAACTCAAATCACCAACCTTTTGATTAACAACCCAGCACACTAAGCTATGCACCACTATATATACTATAGATATTCTAATGATACATGTGCTCATTTTAATGATTGGGAACAGATCCACTGTTATAGTAAGGAAACACACTCTGGTCTAAACACCATTCTAAGGATTTAAAAGATACTGTTCTTATTCTCAACAGAAATGTCACGAGAATTCAAATAAATCTGTAGCTCTGGTTTAAAAAAGAAAAAAAGGCACTGATAATAAAAGTGAGGATCAAAGACATTAAAAGCAAGCTAACTATTCTGGCATGGCCCCAAACACACCAAATAAAGACAGGCAAGAACTAGGAACTGATTAGAGACAGTACAGATTCAAAAGCAATAAAGGCAATGATAGCAAGTTGTTGCTTCTTTCTTTCGTTCTTTCTTTTTTTTTTTAGGCACCTGCTATCTATGCATTCTATTTTACAGATGAGGAGACTTATTTCCAGAGATGTTAAATACTTGCCCCAAATCACACAGCTAGTAAATGGCAGAGGTGAGATTCAAACTCAGTCAGCCTGGCTCCAGAGGCTGAGGACTTACTCTGCTCCCTGTCACCTGACATCTCTGATCTGTGTATGGTTGTGCTGTAGGATAGGCAGTGGTTGACAGCTGCTTCATGGGAGAAAGAGGAGGCTTTCTGCTCCCATAAAAATGTACAGCCTCAGAAACAAGGTTGCTATGAGTTAGAATTAACTCGAAGTTAGCAAGTGAGGGCCTTGCTCAAAAGAATGTAGACTACTTAGAATAACTTCATCCATACAGCACAGTCAAAAGGGAGTTAACAGCCACCAAATTTAACCAGGATTATAAACAGAGAGTGGGACTACATAGGATGAGACTTTGTGATAAAGTTAAGACTTACACTCTAGACTCCAGATACTTGGTATTGCTTAAATCCCAACAATAAACATGAATTACCTTGGAATTAAAAGTATACACAATAAGAAAAGATCCTGCCCCAAATAGCATCACAAATCTATCTCCTTGCGTAGGAGGGAAAGAAACGCAGGCACACTTAAGGCAGGACTGGACCAAGAGCACAGAGCAGGGAAACCAGGATCTGAGCCTAAGAAACCCATCTCAATGGATGATGCAGCCCCATGGCCAAGCCCGGGTCCTTCTGCAGCCCTCCAACCTGGACACAAGGGCACCTGTATTACCTGGGGCTGGTGAGAGGGTGGGGATCCCCGGTCTCTCCCCAGAGCAGCATCTCTGCAAGACCAAGTCTGGAGCCTCTCGGGGAAGAGTCTCAAAGTCCTGGATGAGAATGGGGGCATTGGGCCAAGCCATCCTCTCCAGTTCCTGCACATTGGCATGAGGGCCCACTCCAATGGGCACCACTTGGATGTCTCCGGGCAGCCGCCTGATCACATCCGAGGCAGGGTTTGCTGTGACCATGTAGACCAGGTTAGGCGCCTGCTCACGGTCCCCCTGGCTGGTAGAGAAACTGTGCTCAGAGACGTACTCTAGGGCCAGCCCAGTATTGGTCCTGTTGCCACCCCGGTAGCGTATCTCCCGCAGGTGTTGCAGGATGTCTCCCTTGGACTGTGCCTCACTGAAGGTGTACTCTACCGTGACCATGTATGAGTATTGAAGCACAGTGATACGGATACTGTCCTGGCCCACATCCATTCGCTGGATCACCTCCTCCATGAACTCCTTGATTAGGTTGAAGTTGACTTCACCAACCTTGTCAGACCCTTCCAGGATAAAAACCACATCCAGGATCAGGGAGCTCCTTGTGGGCTCTGGGGACGAAACTCCCAAGATGCCAGGACCCACAGTGACCTGTGCCATGTCGGGGGGCTGAGTTGGGGCTGGTGCTTCCGGTGCCAGGTCACAGAGGTAATTGATAATCTCATCCCTTCTCTGCTCCAGCTCATCCACACTGCTAAACACAAAGGCTTTGTTCTCAGGTGCCTGCTTCTCTATGAGACGGATCTGTTTGAGGCTGGCATGGGGCCCAATGCCCACCGGGATCACGATAACCTTCTTCTTCTTCAGTCCTTGCACATAGCGGACCAAGTTCCGAGCCATCCGCGGAGGCTCCTCACTGGCTGTCAGGAGCAGGACAATGCGGGAGGCTTCCGGGCGGTCAGCTTTGCTAAAGATTTGGAACAGCGTGTACTTTAAGACCTCACTGGTGGAAGCCACCTGGCTGCCTGCGTACTTCACCTGTCCAGCAATGCGCCGCAGCTCTGAGGGCCGCTTCCGGTCCCTGAGTTCGATGTAAGCATGTGAGCCGTCATGGTACTCCACCACGGCCACACGAATCCGCTTCTGAGAGATGTGCAGCCGCTCCATCATGCCCACCACAAAGACCTTCAGCATCTCAAACTCAGCCTCTGACAGCTTGGCGGAGCCATCCAGCAGGAAGACTAGGTCCAGCAGCTTGCTACAGTAGAGGTCATGCAGGGGTGCCTCTGGGATGTCCTCCATGTATGGCGTGGTGATGCTAACTGGAGCTTCTGTAGGGGGCAGCACACCACCTCCTGGCTCCTGGCAGGCTTCACAGGTCAGGTTAACACCATCACAGTGACTATGGCACAGGGGAGAAATGAAATCATTCAGCCCTATCCACTACTGTCATGATTAATCTGTTGCCTGGCCAAACAGCAGTATAGTTGCTGTTCGGTAATGTAATCTAATGGAAATCATAATGTAATTTCCTTCCATAATATAATCTAATCAATTAGTCAAAAAGACAATTTCCCTAGGGTATGTTCTGCTTCCAGAGTACAAGTAGATCACTTGGCAAAACTTTACTCATACAGAGAGAGAGTGGTACATCACTAGAGAACCCTCACTAAGATAGGAACCTTTATATGTAAAAATATATACATAAAACTGCTTGCCAGTCCAGCTGAGTCTTTGCTATCATGAAATACCTTGTTGTTATTTGTCTATTTGTTTTTAGAGGGATCCTCTCCTCTGACTAAAGTGCATTCCCCTTAGCACCTGCATGCATAATCTACTCCACCTCTTCTAACTACAAAGACCTTCCAAGTCCTTGACCTTGATTACCCCTTTATCCTCTTCTGTCATTTTTCTTGACACTCCAGCTATGCCTGACTAGGGCATCTTGCAAAGCTTATCACTCTGCTCCATGCCTCCATGCCTTTGCAAATACTATTCCCGCTCCTGAGAACACACTCCATACCCTCCTTGTCTTCTGCAAATTCCACCTTCCATAGGTGAGTCATCGTTATTAACATATGTCTCCAAATAGCACCACCCCTTCTGAAGTGGTTGTTGTTGTTGTCATAGAGTGCCATCAAGTCGGTTCCAACTGAAAACAATCTGGTATACGGTTTCCAAAGAGTGGCTGGTGAGTTTGAATCACCAACCTTGTGGTTCAAGCCAACCTTGCGGTCCCATGCTTATCATACAGCGCCATAACAGGACTACCCTTAATTCTAGAGGCTTAAGCTTCAACCCATTCTTGGTGGTAGAAAAGATTCTTTTTTGCTTCTAAGGCATATACTGAAACTTACAGTTATTCAAACTTTCTTTTTAAACTAAGGCTCTAGTAACACAGATATTTAATTATAATCCAAACCTACTGCAAGTAGCGCTAAGGACAAATTGTTGCTGTTGTTGTTGTTAAGTGCCATTGAGTCGGTTCCGACCCATAGCGACCCTGTACAGGGTTTCCGAGGGTGTAAATCTTTACGGGAGTAGAAAGCCTCATCTTTCTCCCGCGGAGTGGCTGGTAGTTTCGAACCGCTGACCTTAAGGTTCGCAGCCCAATTCGTAACCACTACGCTACCAGATAGTGCTCTAAAAAGTTGACATAAACCACAACTTGTAAATGTTCTATTGAAAGTAAGTGTTTTGAAATACTTATTACAACATTTTACCTGTATGTATTTTGAATAATGAATGTTGGACTTTCGGGAAGAGAGGAAAATCAGGAATATAAAGGTTTTGGAAAGATGGATACAGATTCAAATTCCCAGCTTTATCTATCGGGATAAAGTACTTGGAAATAGTCTACAGAATTCTCCAAGGTGGTGTTATTGTTAGACGTGTAGTCAGTTCCAACTCATGGCAACCCTGTATAGGGTTTCCGAGGTTGTAAATCTTTATAGGAGAACACAGTCTTTTCTTTCTTCCGCAGAATGGCTGGTGGGTTTGAACTGCCAACTTTGAAGTTAGCAGTCTAGGAGCACCACACCAGGTGTTACACATAGGAAAAGGAGAATGGCTCATTCACTCATCCCTCCAATGGACATGGATGAGGCACCTATTATGTGCCAGGTCCAGGCTAAACCCTGTGCCCAGTTACAAGGACATGTCACAAATCTATAGCAGAGAAGTTGCCCCACACACAAATCCCTACCTACCAGATGAACTCTCCAGGCCCTTCTGGTCACATCACCCTTTCATTAGTATCTTAGAAAGTGGCAGACCATAAAACAAATGAACAACAACAACAACAAATCAAGTTGCTCTCATTCTGGTCATCATGTTACAGAGTAGAACTGCACTCAGCAGGGTTTTCAAAGTTGTGACCTTCTAAAGGCAGATCAACAGGTTTGTCTTTCTGGGTAAGTCTGAACCACCAACCTTTCAGTTAGTTGTTGTTGTTAAGTGCCGTTAAGTCTGTTCTGACTTAGATGCTGCATAAGGTTTAACTGCTTCACCCAGGGAGCCTGTGCCCTAGTAAAATCAATTTGCCCTGAGATGGAGACCCATGCAGACTAGAACCTTTTCCCTCAGCCTTTGAGGTCCCTTGTCTTCAGAGCTCCCAAAAATGGCCACTGTGCTGGGAGCCCTAGGAAGTGATACTCTCGGGTTTGCCCACCAGGCAATCTTTTCAGCCTGCTCTTGAAGTCACAGTGTGTACCTTGGTGGCTGCATATATGCCATAGGAGGAAGGTGAGGTTAAATCGAACCCTATGGCTCAGAACCCCCAAGCCATACTTTATTCCTAACAGTCTCCATTTCACCACAGCACCAGGGTGGGCAAGCAGGCTCTGACCAGGAAGTGAATTCCTACTTCCTTAGGGCCCACACAGAGCATTGCTTTAATCCTTGGTTAACAGTGTGTGAGTGACACACTCCCTCGTTTCCTGTGTTTGCTAGAGTCCTTGCCCCAGGCAATGTTTGCTCTTGTTTGCACAGATGGTGGCGGCAGGATCTGACTCTGGCAGCGCTGGCCACAGTCTTCATCCTGCCTTCCCCCACCCCCCCTCTTCAGTGAATTTAAGTTCTCCAGTTGAAGTTCCCACAAGACTTGATCAGTGTCAGGAGTGGTGTTGAATCTATCAGCATTTTAATAAATGTTCCCTACGTAAGTGCAAGACTTCAGAAAGCTCAGAGCTCACCCTGAGGGCTCCTGCTCACTTCCTCAGAGGCCAGCTTCCCAAGACCAACCCTCTCCAGGGAGAGCCTAGAATCACAGACAGGGTGCTTTCCTCTAATTATAAAAGTCATGGTGACCTTGGCTGAGGTCCCCAAGGTATTTATGCTACAATGGAGAGTCAGGAGCTCCTCATTTTCCTCATCCATCTGCTGTAAATATGAAAGCTGACTTGCATAGAAGCCTGTCCTTGGATTAAATGTGACTCTGGAGGGAATAGGAAATCATACCTTATCTTCAGCGAGAAAGGTATAAAAGCCTTTTCAGAAGTATGTTTTGGGAATAGGGGAAGGGAAGCTCTAGACTGTTTTTAAAGTAAGAGAAGCAAATTCTAGAGATTACATTTTGAAAACTCAGTCTCCACAATCTAAGTCTCTGAGCAGGCCCCAGAGACCATGTTAAGACTCATGTCAAACCCCCAGGTGTCTGTCTCACCAAGTCTGGCAGCGTGTAGGATCATTGGGGTTCAAGGTGACTTTCTTTCCTGGGGGTAAGCGCCGGCCATCCACCTCGCATACAGGGCAGTCCTTGAGGTCAATGCAGGTCTGCAAAAGCTCATCCAGAATCTTTCCTGCACAATAAACTCTGTCAGGAAATAATGCCCCATTCTGCCCATAAGGAGGAGTCCTCTTTAACTAAAGAGACTCATCCCTGAGCCAGCTCAGGGTTGACTCTTGCCTCCCCCATGGTCTCCTCAACACTTAGGGATGACTCTTCTTTCTTTGTGCCTTGATTTACCCCTCTGTAAAACTGAGGCAATGTATTCCTCTCCTACCTCACTTCCCCTAAGCCTAGGACAAATGAAATCTTATCTTCAAGGGTCTTTTCAATCTACAGAAGAATATATTCAATAACTCTAAAACTACATTTTGCAATATAATAGTCATTAGCCATACATGGCTGTTGTTAAGTGCTGCTGTCCACTTGGTTCCAATTCACAGTAGCACTATATAGAGTTTCCAAGGCTTTAAATCTTCTCAAGAGCAGAAAGCCTCAGTTTTCTCTGGTGGGCTCAAACCACAGACCTTGTGGTTCGCAGCCCAGTGCTTATCATAGGGAGTCCCTACACTATTTACATTGAAATAAAGTAAAGCTAAGTAAAATGGAAAGTTCCAGCCCTGTCACATTTCCATTGAGTATTTCCATCACTGCAGAGAAGTCTATCAGAAAGTGCTGCTCAAGACGATAAACCCATAAACCATAAACGATCAACCAATGAAACCATAAAATGATGGCAACTCCATGTGTGTCAGAGGCACACTGTGTTCTATAGGGTTTTCTTCCAAGGTAACTCTGAATGAATTCAAACCTCCAATCTTTCCTTTGGTAGCTAAGCTTCATCAGTTGTGCTACCCAGGGACTCCAAATCCAGAAAAAGACATAAAAAAGCATTTTATAGGAGCTCAACTTGGCAAAACTCCTAGCTGACCTGACTTGAATGAAAGGGCCAATGGAAACAGAACCGTGGACTGTATTACTAGGGACAGGAGACTGGGATGATGTAGGACAGGGAAGTCCAGTTTTTAAGGGTTGAGCCCCACCCAGGCAGTGAGGCTTACCGGGAGGGCAGTGTGCATGACAGCCCTCCACACACTTCACGGGGCAAGCCAGTGGCTCCGGGTGCTGGCAAGTGACAGGGCAGGCAGGGGCACAGCTGTTGTAGCGCCACTCACACTCGTACCCACTTTCCCGCAGGTTCCTCTCCTCGCAGTTTTGGGCTGCAGGGACAGAAGATACAGATCATGACTATTCAAGCAACAGGTAGTTTTGTGCAACTCGATAATCCAGGACTGCACAGAAGGCCCAGAGTAGATGGGGGTGAGGCTTAGAGTGGCGATGGCTCTGGGGGTGGTGACAATCACACTGGAGAGCTAAGGGCAATAGGGCCTCCCTGGCACTGGCAGTCACCAATATTAGAGACCTCTGGATCTCGAAAGCATCTAAACCAGGAGCCATGTGGCCCTGAGTTGGTGTACACAGGCATCTAAAAAAGTTTAGCTGCGTGCACCTGAGGAAGGCAGGCCCTACACAAATGTATGAGCTGGCCACTCATATTGACAAATATGATGGTGACCACCAACTAAAATGCACAGTGACTTCTTTCTTCTCTGCTGTAGTGTTTCCTCTTACAGAATTTCTCCACAGGAAAAGTCTGCACAGCCTAATTGTTTGAATCCATGACCCTTTTCTCCCCATAATATGGCACATTATGCTCACATTAACCTCATCAAGCTCCCATGAGCCCTTGACCCTCCAACCCCATACTAGGACTTTATCTTCTCACTTACGAAGGTATCCTCCTGTGCCCTCTGAGTCTTTAGGTATAATACATTTGGGGGGAGGGGAGGGGAGTCAGAAGGTCACGCAGGGCATAAGGACTCACGGCACAATGTGGCCGTCCTCCAGGTCACCACGCTGCCATGCTGGGCGCATGCATGGGCGTAAGCAGCAATGGTGTCACAGAAGCAGGCACAGTCCCCGATGGATTCACAGGAGCAGGTATCATAAATGCAGACATCCAGGTACGGCTCAGGGTCCACCTGCAAAGACAGACTGAGTCGCCTACACCGGGGACCTGGGCGCTCTGGCTCTTGGTCTGGGTGAGAATGCTCTGGTGGTCAGAGTAAGGGAAAGCAGACTCCAGGGTAGAGGAATAAATGTTGTTTAATGGTCCCAATGAGGGAATGGGTCAAATATAGGATTCCAGGTTCTAATCTGACAGGAGCTCAATGGCTCTGCAGGATTAAAAACTAGACTGCTAACCACAAGGTCTTGAGTTCAAGCCCACCAGCCACTCCAAAGGAGAAAGATGAGACTTTTTGCACCTGAAAAGATCTACAGCTTTGGAAAATATATACAGGATTGCTATGAGTTGGAACTCACTTGACGGCACTTAGCAACAGTAATCTGGATTCCAGCAAAAACTGTTAGATAAAGCAATGCTGCAAGTCTTTCATAAAGTATAAGTTTTCTGAGACTTGTTCAGAATAACATCAAACTGTTGGCCTATTAGTCATGCATCCCTCCCCGTACCCCACAACTAATCTCATGGGTGCTGGAGTATCTTTACATAAATGTAAAACCACATGTACACACATGCACACACATGCTGGTGACTCTCTTTCCCTGCTTCAATTCAGCAAAGTGAGCGAATGAGAAAATATGTCAAGACCCACTAAGGCTGGCTCACTGAGGTGGTATGGGGCTAGTATACTGGACAGTGACAGACAACTAGGTACTTACTCCTGGACCCGGAACTCAAATCCACTGCCATCTATGTACAATTACAGTAAGCACTTCCCTCCCTCCTGCCCCCAAAACATACCACTATACACACTAGCCTCTTTCAGGGAACTTGTATAGACATGAATTCAGAAACTTTGTAAATGAGACCATTGGTTCAAGAGGTTCCAGCAGTCCTAATTTCCTTGGCTCCTCTCATTGTCTTCCCTCTTCCAGGGTAGATACCCCATGTTTCCACCAAATCAGGAATCTTAAGGATCCTTTGGAGTTCTCAAGGACTAAAAATTATTGGATGGATCAAAAGCAAGCTGAGATACATGTACTCAACCAGTCATGCCCACGTGGGTGTGCTGCACAGCAGCTTGTGTGTGTGCACGGTTGAGTATGTGTGTGCACATGTACATACAGAAACACACATGCCCTCCCCTACACACATACACACAGGAAGAGAGAAAATTACATTCAACTGTGTCTTAGGAATGTCTTACTTTCATTTAAGATAGAGACACTAAAAGGTGTCATAAAATGAAATGTGAGGTCATGACCAGAAAAGAGTTTCTGTGGAGGAACAATTGAGGAATACGGGGTTTTATGAGGAGAGGTGCTTAGATCTGAAACAGAAAAAGGGAAATCCTGAGTTTAAGACAAGATCATTCCATGGAGGAACAAATCTTGTGACTGGTGTCAAACAGAAATATTAGCAAATGCTGATAAAAGCTATGCACCATGTAGAAGAAAAAAGGTTGTTTTTGTTTTTTTTCAGATATTACTTTCCTCTGAAACTGCCCCTCATCATTTTTGTTTCCCAGGTTGAAGTCAAGAAAGGGACTTACCAGTTGCTAGGTGGTACCCCCAAGTCTATATCCTTTAGTCATCCTTCAGACCTGGACATGAACTTACCCCCATGGCTCAATTTTCAGCCAAACAGTAGCCAGGTTTATTAGGGGAACAATAACACTAGAGAGGCACAGGTACCTTAGAATAACCAATCATTTGAGATCAAAGGGGCAGCATGTACCCCACAACAAAGTTCTGAAGGGTTAGGAAAAAAGGAAGAACAGAAGCAGGAATCACAGGGAGGGAGTGGGATAGGTGATGTTTCACTACAGGGACTTAGTCAGTGAGATGAAATAAAACATGTGTGAACTGATGAATGGAAAACTGATCTGCTCTTTAAACCTTTACCCAATTCACAATATAAAATTTAAAAAGAAAGAGTTTTCTGTTATGTGTGGTCAAGCTGATTTCAACTCATAGTGACCCCATATGATAGAACAGCTGCTCCAGTCTCAGCTGAAATATTTACAGGAGCAGAACACCTGGACTTTCTAGTGCAGAGCCACTAGGTGGGTCTGAACTACCAGCCTTTCAGTTAGTAGCCAAGCTCTTAACCATTGTGCAGGTTATTTCAAAGACTTTCGCATTCGAAGCTCCTGATCTGAGTGTCCTGGGCACTCTTCTGCCTCCAGTTACCCTCCAGGCCCTCACCAGCTTGTTGCAGTCCTGGAAAATGTCACTGGTCAGGATCCTGCAGGAGGAATCCACCATCGTCTGTTTCATGAGATTGTTGTGGCAAGTGGCAGGGGAGGAGTCCAGCGGCACCTGGGAACAGCACGAGAGTACACAGGTAGGCCAGACAGCAATCACAGGGGGTGGGCTCTAGCCAGAAGTCTTCTTCCCCAGCCACCAGCTGCAGTTCATAAACCTGAGCTTCCCCTGTCCCCTCACCAGCCCCAGTGAGAGTGGGAGATCCACTCAGGAGGCAGGTCTCTTAGTCCCAGTCCACATAGACCCAGACATACTTTTCTGGTGTCAGCACATTGCGGGTTCACTTTCCAGGAATTTCCAAAGTCCACAGGGTCTTCTTCCACTTGGAGGCTGCTGCTGGTGAAGTCATTGTTCTGGATGCCATCAAAATTCCCACACAGGCCACATACTCTATCCTTGATAGACAAGTAGAGAGGACAAGCACTGTAAACCTCAGGGGCACACTCTCTGAAGGGGAAGGAGGAAGTTCCAGACACTGAAGGAGGAAGGGGTCGTCTGAGGAAGAGGGGAGCAAATGGGGCCTAAGGATGGAGACCCAGAGGGGAACCAAGGTGAGGAACAGAGCCTTGCCCAGGCCAAGGCCTTTCCTGAGCTTCCTCATTGGCCCCGTGTTAAAGCTAAAGAAACTGAAGTCATTCGCAAGGAGAGGCAACTTGCTCATCATCACACTATGAACCATGGGCTTGTTGCTGTTGTTGTTGTTGTTAAGTGCCATAGAGTCAGTTCCGACTCAGTGACTCTGTAGAAGGTTTTTGAAGAGAGGTTAGTGGGTTTGAACCACCAATCTTGCGGTTCAAACTGACCCTGTGATCCAGTGGGGAAAAGGCAGCATTGGCTCTGGAATCCCTATGTGAATCATCTCCTTCCCAATAAGAGTATGAGCAGAGAGAAGTGCTAGTTCCATATTACAGCAGCAAGAGTACAAGGATCCATGAAGGCAATATTACAGTCCTACTTTAAGTCCTGGTATGGCACTGTAGGATAAGCACTGGACTGCTAAACACAAGGTTGGCGGTTCATACCCACCAGTCACTCCTTGGAAACCCTATGCTGGGTCACTATAAGTCAGAACTGACTCAATGGCACTTAACAACAACAAACTTTACCATGGGCAGGTGAGTCCCTTACAAGGAGAACTGTATCCTGACCAGAACAGACTGGCTGCTCTCTAATAAATATTGCCAGGGAAAGTATAAATAGCATATTCAACTCCGTATTCACCTTTCACCATGTGCAATATGCAACACCTCTTGGACAAGTAGTCACTGAATAAATGAAAGCCATCAGAGAAAAACTACAGAGAAAAAAAAAAAAATGAAGCCATTTGGCCTGTAAAACAAAAAAATTATTTACTCTCACAACATATTTGCGACCCTGTCAGGGCAATATGTGACTTATTCTGCTTTATAGCAGTAAACAGAATTTGGCTTGGTGTGATGAGTATGAATGACCGGGAAACATGTAGGAAGAATATTTTCAGAGTTGGACAAAAGGCCAAGACCTTGAAATGGCCTAGCAGCCTCATCACCACAGTATGGCAGCTGCCCTCATTCCCTGCCATTCACCCTGTTCTCTCCTTTCGAGCCACACTGGCTTCCTTGCTCAAACCCTCCAAGCACCTTTCTTTCCACATTTGGGCCTTTGCACATATTCCATTGCACCTATGTCTCCTCCCCGAGATATTGGTGTGGCTTACTCCCTCCCCTCGCAGAAGACTCTGCTCAGATATCACCTCTTCAGATAGGCCTCATCAGACCAACCTAGCCAAAATAATATCTCCACAAAATGATCTCCACAATGGCTACAGAAGGCAGAATAATAGCCCACAAAGATGTTCACATCCTAATGCCTAAAATCTCTGAATATGCTACCTTCCATAGTGTTATGGTTTGAATTGTGTCCCCCAAAAATAAGTGTTATAAATTCTAAACTCTATTTTTCGTTGTAAAGTGACATCAAGTCTATTCTGACCCACAGTGACCCTGTATAGGGTTTTCGAGGAGCAGCTGGTAAGCTTGAACTGCTGGTGAACTTAAACCACCAACCTTGCAGTTGAAACCAACTTTGCAGACCACTGCATTAACCCATAACGCCATACCAGGACTCTCTCTACCTGTGGTTATAATCCCATTTGGGAATGAGTTTTCTTTGTTATGTTAATGTATTCATGTAGACTATATCTTGAATCAATTTCTTTTGAGTTATAAAAGGAACAGATTAAGAAGCAAGCAGAGATGCTAAGCCACATGAAGATCCGTCAGGCCCAGAAGCTCAAAAGAGACAAGGACCTTCCTCTTGAGCTAACAGAGAGAGCAAGCCTTCCTCTAGAGCCAGAATTTGGACTTGTAGCCTGTGAGAAAATGAGTGTCTTTGTTAAAACCCTTTGTGGTATTTGTTATAGTAGCACTGGAGAACTAACACACATGGCAAGAGGGATTTTACAAATATAACTTAATTAGGGATTATGAGATGAAGAGATTATCATGGGCTATCCAGGTGATCTCACTGTAATCACAGGGTCCTCATAAGAGGGATGAAAAAGGTCAGCGTGAAAAAAAGCACTGTGACAAATGGAAGCAGAAAGAGACTGGAAGATGCTCTGCTGCTGGCTTTGAGATGGAGGATGCGGCCATAGGTAAGGAATGCAGATTCTGCTCTAGAGCCTCCAGAAGGAATGCAGTCCTGCTGACTGGTTCTGGATTTCTGTCTAGCACTGTAACATACTGAAGATGTTTTAAGCAATAGGAAACTAACATAGAGGTTGAAAAAAATGTTAGCTTCCCCTCCTGCCCCCTGCTATATCCACATGTCCACAGTGCCCAGAAAAGTGTTTGACACATAATTTAAAAAAAAAAAAAAAAGTTGCCATGAAGTTGACTCTGAATTATGGCAGCTCCACACATACCAGAGTAGAACTGTGCTCCATAGAGTATGACTGTTGTTTTGGAAATAGACCAGTAGGCAACAGTGAAAGAGATCTTTTGAGGTGCTGATGGGTGGGCTCAAACCTCCAACCCTTCAGTTAGGAGCTGAGTGTTTATCCATTTGTACCACCCAAGGACTTCCTGATACATAATAGGAACTCAATAATTATTTAATGCATGGATGAGTGAATTGTTTGAATTGTTAATGTTTTCTCTTTTGTTTTTTCATTGTCATGCTTTAGAGAAAAGGAATGGGCTGCCCTATGAAGAAGGACAATGCCCCCTATCTGTGTGCACAAGTTGAAAGTGGATGGTGCTGTCAAAGATGCTGTTGAGGTCTTTCCTGCAAAGACTAAATCAGCCACCATAGTAGACAGAGATACTTGCCACATAAATGCCAGTTAAGAGAAAATTTAGAGAAAGATTAACGCCTTTCTGTTGGAGATTTGACAAATACCATAGGTTATCTTTCTCAAAAGTAGGTTATCAACCCTCAACCCTTCATGTCTGGAATGGAACTTACCCTTATGGTTCAATTTTTAGCCAAGCAGTAGATAGGTATATAGGGGGGTATGCTCAATGAAATAATCAATCATTCAAGATCAAAAGAGAAACATTTAACTAAAGATAAAGTTAAAGAAGGGTGGGATGGAAATAGGACCTACAGGGAGGAAGTGGGATAACTGTTGTTGCATGGAAGGGACTGCAATCATTGAAACAAAGCAAAATGTATGATTTATTAAATATAAAACTGATGATCTTCTCTATAAACCTTCACTCAATTTACAATAAAAACGTTTTGTTTTTTTTAATTAGGTTGTCAGCATTTCTACAAATAGCTCTCAGAATTGGTATACCTGTGGTTAAAGGTAAGTATGTCTCATGACAACATGCAGAGCTAATCAAATCAACACCCTATAATACTTTGTAGTGTTTATAATAAGGTTTTGCATGATCAATTTTCTTCTTGAATTAAGAGCCCTAAGGAAGAGCAATTGCCTAATCTTTGACTTCCTTCTTCTTTGGATATTAGCTTTATGCCTGGTAAAACCAGTCAATGAACTAACTGCTTGTGGGGGGGTGAGGGCGGAAGGAGAGGGCAACCTCAGTCCATTACCCACAGGCAGACTCAGAGAGAGACAACCATGTTAACTGTGAACTTTGAGTTAAGGACTAGATATCAAGGCCATGGTGACTGAACTAGAGAAATACCTCCTCTAGAAACAGGAGAAAGGGGTAGTGGGTCCAAGTCATGAACAGCTGAGGAGGAACGTGAGAAAGGCCACTGACCTGGTATGTCTGCTTCAAGATGACTGAGAAGGCCAGGCGGTGGTCCCAGATCACAGAGAGTGCTCTGCTCAGCAGCAGAATGACATATCGACCAGACTCCACCACCTCAAAGTGAGTCGCATCCTTCATGGACCTCTTCACATTCACCTAAAGGAAGACAAGTCAGGAAAACAGGAAGGAGGAAAGTGATTTTCCAGAGTCTCCCTCTACCCCACACCCACCCCATCTCCACTGCCCTTCAGAGTCAAGTCTGTCATCTGTCCCACGGCATCAGAACTCACCCTATCAGGTCAGGACCATACCTGAACACTCCTGTGTCCATATCCCTTGCCACCCTCCCAGAATTCTATGAACAAAGGATGATTATAGAGGTGGCAGCCAAATCATAATTATGAAATTAAAAATACAATCAAACCAACCAGCAGAAGATCTTCCATTACTTCACAAAAATACAGTTTTACTGGTGCTTGGTCTTTAAATATATGTGACCTCCTAAAAGGAGCTCTGGTAGCGTAGTGGTTACAAATCGGGCTGTGAACCACAAACAAGGTCAGCAGTTTGAAACTACCAGCTGCTCCACAGGAGAAAGATGAGGCTTTCTGCTCCCATAAAGATTTACAGCCTTGGAAACTCTGTACAGTGTCGCTATGGGTCGGAACCGACTCGACAGCACACAACAACAAGCCAAACTTCATCTCTCATACTTCAGACATATTGTCAGGAGGGACCAGTTGCTGGAGAAAGATATCACATTTGGTAAGGTGGAGGGTCGGAGAAAAAGAGAAGACCTCCAATGAGATGGATTGGCCAAGTGGCAGCATCGATGAACTCTAGCGTGGCAACAGTAGTGAGGTTGGCCCAGGATTGGGCAGTGTTTCTTTCTGCTGTGCATAAAAGGTTGCTATGAGTCGGTACTGACTCGATGGCACCTAAAAACAACAACAAGCCAACTGATAGTGGAGTGCTAGTAATATAATGGGTTATGAGTTGGGCTGCTACCCTCACAGTCACCATTTCAAATCTACCAGTAGCTCCATGGGAGAATGATGAGGCTTTCTGCTCCTGTAAAGATTTACAGCCTTGGAAACCCTATACAGGGTTGCTAGAAGTTGGAGCCTACTCCACGGCACATAACCACCACCACCACCACCAGCCAACTGATGAAAAACTCTATCCCTGGGCACCACACTCGACTTTTCTTGTTTTCTCACATCCCACTCCTCAGAGAAATTGTGATCAGGAATCAGGAGTGAAGATGAACAAAGATATTGAGGAGCACAGCTCTATGTCAGGAATCACATATTTCCATTTTCCAGAAGGACCCTGGCTAGAGCCCTAGACTTGGCCGAATCACTGCCAGTGACTTCCTCAAAGCCCATCTCAGTGACCATCTAAACCATAATGTTGACCATCTAAACCCTAATGTTGAGGCTGATACTGAGAGCCTGCCAGCAGCCCTTGCAAAGGTCCTCTCCTGGTGGTCCTCATGACAACATGCAGAGCTAATCAAACGTGCAAATGTCTGTACACCCAATCCTATTACTACTGTCATCTGTCCTAAATAGAGTGTCCTTTGAGATAGAGGTGACACTGCTGACCTACAGTCAATGGTGATGCTGGCTAAATGCTTTTCTACTGAAAGGAGAGCAAGTCACCTTCCATCCCCTGCACTTGATGGCATGGATTTGAGCAGGCGAGGCTGCAAGTTGAAGTAGTGGAACAGAATCAAGGTAATTGCTTAGGACAGGTTTGGGGAGAGAGCCTGGGTCTCCCAAGGATTATATAGAGTCAGAATAGCTGATGTAGGGATCACCTGCCTTAGAATTCCTGCCACTTTCATGCAGATTCCTGAGCCTCATCCCTAACCTACGGAGTCAGAGTCTCAGGGTAGAGCCCTGGGACCAGCATCTTCAACAAGACCTCCTGGACCATTCTCACCCACTCTTCTGAGAAGCACTTTTAAAGTCCTTATCGTGCAGAGGCTGGATCTGCTTACTTCTCTTTGTTTACCTCACATACAGAGCTCTATATTTATCTGAAAAGAACTAAAACATGAACGAAAGCAGAAGTCCCTCATAAGTCCAGCACTCTTCACACCACCCCATCCCACACACCCACCTACCCCCCAAATTACTTAAATACCTGAGTGCTGCTTTTATGGGAGATTTTATATATAAGAAAATATAATGCAGGGGGGCTTCAAAAAGTTCATGGAAAAACTACTGTCTTCGAATTACTCTTTTCCACAGACTGAAGCCGTTTCATAGATATGCTCGTAGAATAAAAGGAAAAGTGCCTTGCCTCCCATTTCCCACTCCACTCTCCAGAGGTAAGCACGGGTTCTTCTGATATTTATACAGACACAGATACACATCTTTCTCCATATGAGTGCATCTACAGTTTATATTACTAAGGTGGGCTCCTATCACCCGTATTGCTCTGCAACAACTTGTTCTTCTCACACTGTGTTCATACATCACTACCTCATTCTCTTAATGGCTGCCCATTATTTCATTCATACCAGTTCTAAGTAAATGTGTGATACATGCTCTTAATAAGCAGACCAATAACACAGCAAGAAATGAGAGAGGCCTGCACTTACCTCCCCATCAAAGAGTTCAATCTCTCCTCCTTCAATCAGGATGGTGATCCGCTTTTTGCATTTAACTGAGGGGTAGCCACAACCCTCATTCCCCACCAGGATCCGGAAGGTCCCAGGGTTGTCACCACAGTAATCCTGGGGAAAGGGGGTTCCAGGAGAGAGACTTTATTCCTGCTACCTCTACTCACATCAGAAGACAGGCTTCTCATTCTCTCAGGCCTTCGAATATGTTACAGGATGTCACCATGTCTGTGTGTGTCTGTGTGTGTGTGTGAGAGAGAGAGAGAGTAGGGACACATACTGGTTAGCTCCCTCATGTGTGTCATCCTTGTCACATACTGAACCAGGTGTCTTCAGTCAGTGGAGAGAAGGAGGGAGTGGTAATGAACACAAGGTGGAGACGGAGGGGAGAAGAAGAGAGTAAAGTGGTGTGTGGCATGCTTTTATGGTGTATCAGGCTAAAAGCCCTGATCTATAGACCACTGGTTCTTGGTCCCACCCAGGTAAACAGCATCTGATGGACTGCTTGTCTAAAATGTAACCAAAGGCCATTTGAGGCCATTCCATTTCTAGCTGGAAAGAGAGGATAAGTGAGCACTTGTAATTTTCAGTCAATTGTATAGAAATTGAGCAAAAGGGGGTATTTTTCCAGCAACTACCTCACCATGGTGACTATGATTAATACTACAATGTGAAGAAGAAAAATATATAACACTCAACTTAGAAAAACTAGGTGTTAGCCTTAGTTCTTCTACTTATTGTAGAACTTTGAGTAAGTTATTCCCGCTCTGAACACACACACACTCCAACTGTTCTGCACTAAGATGAAAATCAGCCAACTTTATGGGATGGTTGTGAAGGGTAAAAGAAGGAACAAGTGTACTAGGGCTTCATAATTTGCCAGTGTGTTTGTGTTACCAGCTGAGCTTTTCCTGAAGGAGGGAGAGTTGAGTCTTGTTATCTCCCAAAGGAGGAAGGGAGAGAGGGAAGGGAGACCCAGGTCACAGTATTAGACAGGGACAACAGAACTGGTGATGAGGAAGGAAACTAACAAAGCACCAGTTACCATCAAGTCAATCCCAACTCCTGGTGACCTTGTGTGTGCTGAGTAGAACTGCTTATCAGGTTGGGTATGATTTTTTCATATATACATCTAAAACTCAGGAGTGCCATGGCTCCATACGATAAGCACCAGACTGAGAACCATAAGGTCTGCAGTTTGAGGCCACTAGCTGTTCTGTAGAAAAACGATGAAGCTTTCTACTCCCACAAAGGTTTTTAAAGCCTTGGAAACCCTATACAGGGTTGCTATGAGTTGGAACCACTTGATGGTACTTAACAACATATATATATATATATATATATATATATAATCATTGCCATCAAGTCTATTTCAACTCATAGCGACCCTATAGGGCAGGGTAGGATCACCGTGTAGGGTTTCCAAGACTGGAATCTTTCTGGAAGCAGACTGCCGTACCTTTCTCCCCTGGGGTGGGTGCTAGGCTCCAACCCCTGACCTTTCATTTAGCAGCTGAGACACACACTGACACACACATACATACATGTACACACACAAGGGGCTTGAAAAAGTTTGTGGGGGAAATTCCATTATCTTTCATTGCATTTTTCATGAAGTTTTAGAAGCCCCCTCATAGGTATTTTATTCCTGAGGATTTTCATGTCTGTGACCTTTCAGAAGCAGACTGCCAGGCCTGCCCAGCTCCATGGTGCCTCTGCTGGGGTCAAACTGCCAACCTTCCAGTGAGTAGCTGAGCCACCCAGGGACTCACACAGAAAGGGGACTCTACAGCTGTGGGGAAGCGTCATCTGGCAGGGGAAGTGTTGGGAGCAGTAAGTGGTGATCCAACTGCTTCTAGTTGCACTGAATCTATTGTCTTTTTCATGATATTCTGATAGGAAAGTGGCTCCGTAGTTGAGCCCCCAAACTGGTGTCACCTTCTTTTGCCAACAAAGATGGAAGGCAGGAAGATCATCAAAAAAAATTATTGACATATATAATGTGGGGAAAGCTCTGGAAGGGAAAATACCCCAAGGTCTCAGTGTCTATGGAACAAGGTCTGCCAGCCTCTCTGGGCCAGGCCAGGGGAAGGCACAGCTGGTTGGAGCTGGTGATTCTGCTTCCAACCCGCTCCCAGCACATCCTTCACACAGAGTACACGGTACCTGGACCACTGATTCAGAGGGTCTACAGCTCAGTCTCTGGGGCCAAGGCTCCCTCACTTTGTGATCCTCCCTTCAGACCACACCAAACCCCCACTTTCTCCTGGGAATGGAGACAGAGATCACATTTCTTTAATGCCTCAGATTAGTGCTGTCTCAAGTCTCGTGAGAAAAGCACTCCTACCTCCCCAGTTACCCATGTGGCGTCAACCAGCAAGAGAAATTTACAGGAATCCATTCCCTGGGCAATGGAGAGGCAGAGGTTCCCCTGGGCTCTGTCTCATCTTGCGGGTCACTATGACTTTTCTGTGTCCCCAGCCCCCACCGCCTACCCAGTCTGAATTGTGCTGGTTTAACTACCAGCTGTTCCACGGGAGAAAGATGAGGCTTTCTGCTCCTATAAAGATTTACAGCCTCGGAAACCCTGTACAGGGTCGCTATGAGTCAGAACCGACTCCACGGCACATAACAACAACAACAAGAAATGAAAATGATGTCGAAATGGGCTTCTGCCTTGTTTTTACAAGTTCTTACATGTCTCCATGGAAGCAGGAAGAAAATGAACAAGCCCTTTGAGTCTCAGATCCCCTACTTTTTCAGGTACTTTTTTCAAGAATTGGAAAATTACTCCAATTGAAAACAACCCCAGAGTTTCTACAGATAGACTCCAACATAGAGACCTCCCTGTTCCCTTACACCACTCCACACATTCCCACCCTCTCCTAGAGACAGACAGTGCCCTCCCCTCCTCTCTCTCACCTGCAGCAGGACGTACTGGCACTCCCCGGGGAACATGTACTTGAGCCCATCAAAGGTGAGGTAGTGGGCCATGCCCATCATGGAGCATGTGGCATCACACACATTGTCCGTGCAGTTCCACTTCCGGTCCTGACAGACACTAGGAACAGTAATATCAAGGCTGATCAGTGGGGCTCCCATGTGTGAGGGACTCCCATATGTGAGGAGTTCATCTGGACACTGGGGAGGAGGAACAGGACCTACAGCCTGTGGGGCTCGGGGCTCAGAGCTTGGGGCTGCATTTCCCAAGCATGAGGAGAGGGAAGCCACCAGGGAGGGAACTGAGGTGCATGGGAAGGAAGGGCTGTTGAAGGTGACACAAGCAGCCGGGGAAGCAGCCTGGATTCTCTAGAGACCACCTGCTATAGATTTTCTAAAGCTCATGTTCTCCCTAGATGCTCCCTGAGAGTGGCCACGGGATCTCCAGGAAACAGAGACATGGAGGTTGAAATCTTTCTGAGGCTAATGAGGAAATCCAAGAGGGAACAGCATGGAAGTTCTGATAACAGTGATTGGCCGTGCACTTCTGCCAGGAGAGGTTTTGTGTGTACAGAGCAGTAGGTTTAAATCTATGGTGATGTGCAGACTGCTACATGGCCATCCCACCATTACCCTGTAACCAGAGCTGACATCATGATGCCCACTCTGTGTGTCAGAAGTGGTGAGTTCAGACCTCAGATCCCATACTCTAGAGACAGCTAAGCTCCTTCAAGGTCTCAGTCCTTCCTGACTGTCCACACAGACCTCTTCAGAAAGCTGGGAATGGCCCAAAGGTCAAAGGCAGGGAGACTGAATGGGGCGAGAGATGAGAAGCAAAGAGAAAGGAAGCCAGGTGCCCTCACTAAGGGCCTCACGTGGACTATGCTTATGAGGCAGTATAAGGGATCTTGGCCAGATGAATGGCATAACAGTGGCTGATGAAGACTTTATCCTCCTCAAGCCCCATCTCCCCATGTGATGATAATAACCTCTAGAACAGTGTCCGTGCAGGGTGAGGACAGGGGACAATAAAGATTCTCTCCATTTCACAGATGGAGAAACAGAGTAACCAGACTCCCACAGAGTGCTGAAGGAAAATGCCAAAGGCCCAGTGGCCATGACTGTCCCTCACAGCTTCTTCCCCTCATGCCCTCTGCCAAAGGCTGGACTTGCCCTCAGCCATCCCGGCCCCTTCCCCCACCTCTGGTGCCTAGGACAGACTCCCCCAGGGCCTCACCAAGTGTTGCAGTCAATCTTCATCATTTCTCCTGGAGCATACTCTTTGCCCTGATGGAAGCAGGGACACCTTTCCAAGGCCACGCATCTGTTTTCATGTCGGACCTAATGGAAAAGAACCCACAAGCCATGAGAGCCAAAGTGACTGATCTAAAGCCCCTCTGGAGATGCACTGTTTCAGACTTGAGTCCAGTCCCAGGACCAGACAGAGCCAAGGGGGCAGCCTTGGCCACAGGTCAGCCCTGGACAGGGAGCCCCATCTACACTGAAACTCTAATTGCCCTTTCTGCTCTAAGACCCTAGTTTGGCACACCTTTGCAAAGACACTTCAGTAATATATGTTAGAACTTCAGACTCAGAAACCCTTCAATTGTATATATATATATATAATTGTTGTTATTGGGTGCCATCAAGTTGATTCCAACTCATAGTGAAACCATGAGACAGAGTAAAACTGCCACATGGTTTTCCAGGCTGGAATTTTTACAGGAGGAGATCACCAGGTCTTTCTTCCACAGAACCACTTAGTGGGGTCCAACTGCCAATCTTTCTGTTAGCAAGATCTCTTAACTGTCGCACCACCAGGGTCCCTGTACACATCCTTACATCCAGCAATTCCACTCAGAGGATTTCTCCAAAAGAAATACTTACAAATTATGGACAAAGGTAAAAGCAGATTTATCACTGCAAAAAAATGGAAACATCTATGCACACCAATGTTCACAGCAGCACTATTCACAATAGCAAACAAGATGGAGGCAGCCTAAGTGTCCATCAACTGAAGAATGGATAAACAAATTTTGGTACACACACACAATAGAATATTATGCTACCTTGAAGATTAACAAGGAAGCTGCAAGCCCCCACATAACATGGATGAACCTTGAGGACATTATGCTGAGTGAAATTAGTCACAAAAGGACAAATATTGCATGAGACTATTATTGTAAAAGCTTAAGAAAAGATACCCATACTAAAAGGAAAAAAAAAAATTATTTGTTGGTTACCAGTGGGGTTGAGGTGGAGGGAGGCAACGATAGAGCACAGGGTTGGGGGCAAACACATCATAGTTCGGGTTTTGGGGGAGGGCAATACAGAAGAAGGGAGAGGGGTGGAAGAACAAGGTAGATAGAGGAACACTGAGACAGGTTTGCATGGGTTAAATGGGACAGAGGTAAATAGTGATGCATGCTCAACCATGGAACAACAGGGCTCTGTGATACAGGGATCAAGGCATGGTTTGAAGAAGGGAAATAATACTAAGATGCTTGACTGTCTTATGAATATTTGTTTCCCTTGCCTATTATTGTAAAATGGACACTTGAGTGGGATAGAAAGGAATGTTGGGAAACATGATTACAGAAAGCTTGAAACCTGTCTTCAGCCTATAACTGATTGGAATACCTAAAAGGGTTCTACAACTTGTCCCATGAAATAAGCCTCCTATGGAGCATTTGCAGTGTATAGGACCTTAGGTGGAATCCTGAGTCCCATCCAGAACCTTTTGAGGTGGGTCATTCCCACTCGAAAGGACAAGCAGACCAGCCTGGAAAAGCTAAAGCAATAGAAGCTATATCTTCAAAGAAAGATCATCAGGAAAAACCCAAAACAAAAATGGCAGTATGACTGCCTACTACAAGAATAAGCAAGTCGTTCAATGCAAACAATCAAGTCCCTTCAGGACATACCCCACCCCCAAAACTGAAACTCAAAGGGAACACATGAGCAGGCATATAGGCTTGCTGGCGACCACATTGGTCTACTGGTGAGTGGAAGAGGGGGAAAGGCAGCAATGAATGAAGAAATGGGCTAAATTCAACCATGTTCCATTAACTCCTGTTGACCTGGAGATGAAAGAGAGAAGAGGAAGGGCTGGCTGGTCCAAAGTGTGGTGAGACCTGGGGACACCTGAACATATGGACAAGGACATAGCCACAGAGGTCTAGAGCTAAGCGTGAAGCATCAGCTGATACGAAGTCAGGGGTGATGCACAAGAACACCCAAACTTACAGATAGTACTCATTCAACCTAGCCTCAATGGCTTGATAATCAGAACTCAACTGGTGGTTGGTGGTTATGTGCTGTGGAGTCAGTTCCGACTCATAGTGACCCTGTACAGGGTTTCTGAGGCTGTAAAACTTTACGGGAGTAGAAAGGCTCATCTTTCTCCCGCAGAACAGCTAGTAGCTTCGAACTGCTGACCTTAAGGTTCACAGCCCAATTTATAACAACTACGCTATCAGAACTCCTTCAGAATTCATCTAGAGGAAGATTTAAAAAAAAAAAAAAAAAAATTTTTTTTTTTGATAAAGGAAACAAGGGTAAATTGCTACAATTTGATGAACCTGACCTTCATTCATGGAGGTAGTTACTCTAAATACCAACAGAGAGGGAAGGAGTCTTCACATCAAGTATCAGTGCTATCCCCTCTGTACACAGGGTAGATAGGGATGGGCAGTTTAGACACTGGCTACCTAAAATGAGGGGGCGATAACTGGCCTACAAGTTTCGAGGGAGAATTTAGTTAAAGAGTGTGGGGGAGAAGAAAGTGTCCCCACTGAATAGTTTTCATTTTGTCTAGATGGGTCTGGTAAAAAGAGATGGGAATAAGACTCCTATGATTCAATAGTAAATAATTGTTATCATGACTAATTACCACTGTTACAATTGTAAAGGTAGACATTTTGCAACAAAAAACAGGGGAGTAGTTAATCTTACAGTCCAGAAAGAGAGGACCCTAGGACCATCAAGGGAGAAGAGCACAAGCAGAATGCGGGACCTTATCCAGAGAAGCAGCGATGCCAGAGATGGAGGCAGAGATGAGGATATGGAGAAAGGGATCAGCTGAGGACTCTAGATTCATGGAAAGAGAGGGACTGAGAGCTGGCAGGCTTGCAGAATGTGTTCTTTGGTGGTGTAAATTATTATATATGCCTGAATGTTTTAAAACAAAAAGAGCTAAAGTGAATAGAGAGAAATACTGCTAACTGATGGTACATGGAGGGGATTATAATCATTGTAATGAAACAAGGTACATGATTTGTTGAATGTCAAACTGATGATCTGCCCTGTAAACTTTCACACAATCCACAATAAAAACCTTTTAAAAAAATTGAAACATCAAGTGTCCAACAACAGAAAAAATTATTAAATCTATAAGGAATTTCAATGTGATGGTTATGCTATGGTGTTATTAGAATGGCCCTTTGGAAGAATTGTAAATAATGTGAGAAATATTTGTGCTGCTGTAAACTTGTCAAACAGAGAAGAAAAGTATACACACATATGATCCCAACTATGAAATATATATATATATATATATGTATATGCTGTAGGATAAGCACTGGAATGCTAACCTCTAGGTCGGTGGTTCAAACCTACCAGCTGCTCCTTAGAAACCCTATACATTGTTGCTATAAATCAGAACCAACTCAACAGCACTTAACAATAATGTATATATGTGTATGTAGATATGTATACTCACAAGCACATATATACATACACACATTTAATAATAGTAACTTTTAAAAGACTAGAATGAAACACAAAAGTTGCCTCCAAATAGTAGATAGGCAGTGAGGAATTTTCTTTTCTTCTTGGCTTTTAATTTTTTTTAAAAATGTTCTTTAGTGAGGATGTATTCTGTTTATAACCTAATAAAATGAACAACATATGCTATAAAATTAATATGCACTTATTACCCTGGGGTGAGAGCTGAATATTAGGATTAAGCAGAGATGCTAATTGGTGGGAATGTGTAATATGCTTAGCTGCTAACCAAAAAGTTAGGAGTTTCAGTCCACCCAGAGGCACCTTGGAAGAAAGACCTGGTGATTTAGTGCCAAAAAGATCAGCCAATGAAAGCCCCATAAAGCACAGTCTACTCAGACACACATGAGGTTGCCATGAGTCAGAATCTACTCGACAGCAACTGGTTTTCTGGTACCAAAACCAGTGTGGGGCTTTGTCAAGCCACTCACACCCCCTCCTCACTTAATGTCCTGATACTCTGATATGCCACCTTGTAGGTATGTGGGGGTGTGACCTGCTCCCTGCCTGCTGAAAGGTTCCTTATGTGAGCATGTTATACTCTTCAGAGTTGTGGGGCTAGGGTGGGGCTGGAGAGGCTGACAGCTAAGAACCACTGGCTTCCATGGACTCAAGAAGAGTTGGCTGACCCCACTCTGACCCCAACAGGTGGGTCTACTCTGTCCCAGCTTTACAAGGCATGGCCTACCATTTGGGTGACCTAAAAGGGCCTAGGTCACCCTCAAATGAAAGTGCCATGTCACTTTGGCACAGAGTGCCTGTGAGGCAGTAAGCCTCTGGTCTGGATGGCTCAGGACCAATATGATCCAGTCACATCCCAGACAAGCTTGAGTTCCCAGGGCTTGGAATTAGACAAAGTTCTAGAAACAGAGAAGTTTTGGGCTGAGCAAAGGGCTTGTGTGTCAAGAACAATGTGTGAGTTTGGTGTGTGTGATATGTGTGTTGAGGAAGCTAGAGGTAAGAAGGATCTCCACAATTTAAATACCACTTCCAGCCAACCTCAAAGGGTGTCCCCAAGTTCCATAAAGTCTAAGTGATAATGCAGTATGGAAATGCAGGCAGCAAAGAAGATGCAGACCAACTGTACTCCTGGTAGTTCAGACATTCTGCCATCATTATTCTTGGAAAACAATACCAGTAGGGGATATGGGAGCTTGATAAGAACTAGGAAGGACTGAAAAATGTCTCTCTATTTGTGCCCATTCCAAAGACAGGTGACCCAATGGAATGTGGAAATCATTAGACAATAACATTAATATCTCATACCAATAAAATTTTGCTAAAGATAATATAAACATAGCTGCAGCAGTATATTCAGACAGAGATGTGGAATGAGGGATATCATTGCTGATGATCTTGGCTAAAAGCAGAGAATACCAGAAAGATGTTTACCTGTAATTTATTGATTACGCAAAGGCTTTCAAATATGTGGATCATGACAAACTCTGGACTATATTGTGGAGAATGAGTATTCTGGGACTCTTAATTGTGCTTATAAGGAACCCGTACATAGACCAAAAGATAGTCATTCGAATAGAACAAGAGGACACTAAATG